AATATTCTAATTTCCATTAATATAGGTACTCTATTGATTTTAACTCTTATTATACACGAATTTCCACAATAAACCTTTGTAACTTATTATTTAAGTATGTAATTTTTAAATATGGAAGTAAGATAAAGGATTAATATATGTAGCATGGTCCTAAAATTCTATTTAAATTAAATGAAAAATATTATATTTGTTTTTTAAATAGTATTCATATTTTTTCATATTTATTTTTAATTATTTTATATTATCATCACAATAGGAGTTCGTATTGTTGTAATATGAAGGAAAGAATTTCGTTGAAGGCCAGTGATTATCGCGTAGAAAATCTGCGGTCAATTGTTTCCAACAGGAGATCTGCTGGTGCATCGTATATAATTTATTTTCGCTGGTTTACTTGGATATTACGTGGCGTGCTGACATGTTTAAATTTTGCCACATAGACATGCCAAATGTCGAATTTCTATGCATCGGAGTCTCCTTTATTATATTAAAGGATTTTTTCTATTATTACATGGCTTGCTGATGTGTTCCATTTTTTGCCAAATAGGCGCGCCAAATGTCGCATTCTCGTGCATCAGAGTCTCCTTTATTATAATAAAGGATAAGTTAAATGGAAAATAACACAAGACAAATCTCGTAAACTGAAACGGAAAGCTTGTTTTAAGAGAGAGGGAGTATTAAAATAAAATCTTCATTTTCATACTAAAAGAAGATTTATAATATCAAATAATGCCAACATAAAATGTCAAACAATATTATGAAAAGCCAACACTCAAAGGTCAAATTTAAGTTTTATTGACTATTAATGTAGGGGGTCTCATTTTGATATAAATTTCATATTTAAGTTTTATTGGCTATTGATGGCAAAGGTCAATTACATACTTGGAGTAGTATTATTACCTAAACTATGTTTTTATTTTCCAATGTAAGATCATTAGTCATTATTCAACTAAAAGCATCACTTGGACATTATTCTTCTCACTAGTCATTATTAAATCCTATTTAAAAAATAAAAAAATTTAAATCCTATATTAGAAAATGACTTATGTTTTAATCATACTAGTATTTAACCCGTGCAACGCACGGGGTCGAATGCATGTTATTTTTAACTCGATTTGCTAATTTTTCGTTTTAAGAAAATACTTAAAGAATAAAGATAGATATAATATAGAATGTTAGATACGACATAAACAGAGTATGCTAACTTAAATTCATGTATATAAAAATTGAAGAGAATGTATGAATGTATTAATCAAGTGGCAGTAATGTTAGTAGCAGAACCAAAGGCCACTGCTAGGAAGGCAAAGTTTGAGAAGTCTCATTCACCAACCAAATCCATATTGTGCTCTGGTTATCCAATTCTCAATCTTGTTGACTCTGGTTATCACCAAAATATATGTTAGAAGGATGGAAACCATTATGTTTTTTGTTATGCAACATTAAAAAAAAATCTCCATGAGGAAATAAACATCATGTGAAAAAACAAAACATTCTGAAAAACTGGTTTGGGAGTGTGATGTGAAGTACTCGTTCTTGATGAGCTTTCAAAGAATTGTTTCTTGGGGGTTGAGATGTAGCCCAACAATCTAATGCATAGTCTACTCCTAAATATACAGCATTTGAGAATCATTATATTCTTATATCTTTAGCAAAAAAAAAAAAGAGAGAGAAAAGAACTCAAGCAATGTGGAGCTTCCTAAAAAATCAATAATTTCTACACAGCATGGATACTATGTACTTTAGGAATTAATATGCTCCATTTTATTATTGCTTTAGGCAAGTGGGTTATTTAATTTTCAGATTGATCAAACTGTACTATTACTTTATTGTTTTTTTAACATAGGAAAGGAACAAAATTTTCTTTCAAAAACGTCTTCGAGACAAAAGGATTTGCTGCACATGCAATTCCAAATTATGAGCATATAGTGCATCTGTTCATATTCAAATGTCTCAATAGATAGTCAATTCTCAGATCAAATGGCAATTAGTATATGAGTAATGCCATGAAAAATAAAATAGCATAGTATGTAAGCCCACTTATGACTCTATGAGACTTGTAGAGAATTTAATGCTAATTGTAAAATGTCGCACCTCATAATCCTCAGCGATGAGAAGATAACAAATATTGCCATAGAGAAAGAAAGTGAAATTCAACTCTCAAACAATGACCTATAATTGTCATCCATGAGAAGATAAAAATAATATTTGTGTTAAAATTTAACAAAAATCCTAGCACTTAAGCATACCAAAAAAGACTTACTTAAGATTTACTTTTCTCACTCTGTGCATCTCCTATGTGTTGGAACAAACGATATACGATACTTTCATTTCTCTTGAAAAGAAAATGAACAAATATTTTGTTTGCCAAACTGCATGAAAAAGTATTGTACAATCTCATTTTTTTTCAACCAATTTGTGGAAACCACAAAAAAAAAATGAATCAAAACATAAACAGAGAGCTTTGATCTATTAGTTTCCAATTTTGTACTTGTATAAATGAACAATGTAATCTTTTAGATTTGAGCCTTAGAGTGTCTTTCTCGTGCCATTAATTCACATATTATGATTCTAAATGATGTATGTAATTACACACGCCCAATTTTCACAAATAGGAGTAATTGGAATAAAATTCGAGTAAAAAAAATACTCTGTAAATATATTTCGAGCAACTGAAGATAATCTAGGGATTTTTTAGGTCAGGAGATTCGATGTTATGACATTGAGCTTACCTTGAATATGATGTTCCACTGCCTCTTGAAGTTCCCTTCCAGCGAGTACCCCCTTCCACTCTGCTCCAGAAAAGACAGTCCAGAATTGGTTTCCAGTTGGCAGCTCTGTCGCTCACTGGCCATCCAAGCAACAATAGGTATGAGCTCCAGTATTGATTTTTAACACTACTATTGTTTAAAAAACATACCAAATAGTATATCCAAGATCAACCTAACCAAACAAACAAATGTCAGGATCGTGCCATGTAAAGCTAAAATTAATGGTTTTGCTATACAATCAATATGAACTGTAAAATCTAGGAAGAATACGAATTAAATATGCATAAGAATTGCCAAAAATAAGAATTACCTTGGAAATCATCTAATGGAGAGCATCGCCTTCTGCAGGAATTGCGCTGTAAATTAGATTCATTTTCGATATGGAGGAGCATTGACTAAGAACAAAGGCTACTTACCTTTACCCTAAATAGTTACCACTTTCAGTGAAGAAGAGATGAAGCATCTCAATTGAAATAAAAATTACTTCCATAAGCTCATAAAAATATACAAATTCAAGAGAATAAATTCATTCAATTTTCTTGATTTAATTGAAACTCATATCACTTTAACCCTCACACTCACCACTAAGGATAATTTTCGAAATTAAAGGAGATGGGTAATCTTGGTTGTGGCAAACAAAAAGTTAAAAAAATATGGTGCTACAAATGAATGTAAATAAATTATTTTGTATTACAATGACAAATTTGATCAAATACACAATTTTTATTTTAGAACACCAACACAATGCAATTGTCTTTCAAAACAGAGATCTGAACCCCAAACGGATATAATTAATCAATTTTAAAGGGTTAATCCTAATCTTGAAATAAATAGGTATTAAAATTATCACTATTTTCATGTAATTTCTATTTCCAATTCAAACACATATTTGATACACTGACCGAATCAATTTGACATACCGAATTCACAAATACCAATGAGAGCTTTTGTTCTAGACGGTTGCTGCCCATGTTGAGGAATTAGAATTTCGCCCGAGCATTCAAAAAAAGTATTCCTCACCTGAAATTGATGAAATCTTGAATAAATATCAATTTAAACAAACAATCAAAAGTTTAAATTATATAATTAAGCGTGAGCGCATAGCAAAAAATATAGATGTAGAAGCAAAAAAAACAGAGATAATAATTTTAAAGAAAGAAAATAAGAAGAAATTGGGATTTGGCATTGATTGATAAAGGAAGAAGAAGGAAGATGATTGCAGAAGAAGGAAGGAGATCGTGGAGAAGGCACGTATTCTTCTGGATTTTCCCCATAGAATTATACTAATATGTTTAAACAAACCTAATTTGGATTTTCCCCATAGAATTAAACAAACCTAATTTGCAGGCTAGATTCGGGAAGACGGATACGTGATGAAGATGGTATCAATCACGATTTTTATTATTTCAATTAATTGAAGGAAGCAGATTGGTATCAATCAACCCACCTTGAAAAAAAGAATTTTCCGGAATAAATTAGGGTAAAATTGGGGTAACCGAAGGAGAAGAATGGAAAGTCGAATAGCAGTACCTCGATTTCTTTCCTTCCGTGTAAATCCAAGGCAGCGAGGAATTAGGGCTGAATCGAAGATCCAATTTTTTTTTACTTTCCTATCCGCGAAGAACGCGAAGAAGAAGGTCGAAAGGAAGAAAGAAGGAGCTTCCGCTAATAATTCGATGCGTGTAATCCGAGGTGTAAGCAAATTAGGAGCCTTCACTTGCCACGTGTCATCATTCTAGGCTATCAACTCTCAAATATTATATTAAAGGATTCAATGCAAATTTCACTTTATTTATATCGGGTCGGTTCTAATCGAGTCTGATATATAGTGTTCAAAGTCATACCAGTTCTTTAAAATTTTAAAATGAGTTACTGGGGATCATGTAAACAGAATTAAACCTGACCTTCATATCCACAAAATAATTTACGAGTCCCGATCAAAATAGAAGTGAGGGTATTATAAATAATTGATCCATGAGAAACTAATAAAGGGCGGTAAAATATTGACATAGGAATGTACAGAGGGAGGGTGTTTAAAAACAGAAGTGTTAAGAAAGAACGCTTCACACACAGAACACAAATCTACTTTGCCCAATACAGACACCACAAGGCGATGAAGTGCACAATAGTTTACATACAACGCGAATAAGGCGTGGAAACGCTTCTTTTTTCTTGTTTTTCCCTAAGATGCAGAATGCATGGAAGCATCCGTCTCCGGTTCTGGTCCATCACATGCGTGGATAGCAGTGCATATGTCATTGGCCTCAAGAAACTGTTCGGCATTTACGAGGATGACAGGAGCGTACTCAAAGACCAGTTGCTTACACTGCCAAAGATCAAACAAGGGTGCAATTTAATTCAGCAAGAAAGATGCAGATATAGTTCTGTAAAATTGACTCGTAGGGTTCATATAGTTTTGGGAAGAAAGCTTTTTTTTTCTGTGGTGGGGGGATTAAAGAGATAAAGCTAAATGTGGTTCCCACTCATAAATAAGATCTATCCAGAAATGAGAAGAAACCTTGAGAAGAAAGGTGGGCAAGATTTCAAAATATACAACCCAGTTGAATCCCACAAAAGTAGGGTCTCGAGAGGGTGTTTGTACTCAAACATACCCCTACTCGAAAGTAGAGAGCCTATTTCCAAAAAGACCCCCGGCTCAAGCACCATAGGTAATCATGTTTGGTGTCTGACCCCAATGTTTAAAACATAGAGTGGCTATTTCCAGATGACCCATGATAAGAGTCGAAAGTTGCAATTAACTTGAGTGTTCTATACTTCTATATGTTGGGGACAAACTTGTCTTTAAAAAAATAAAAATCATTTTCTTTCTACCCAATTTTCTCTCATACTTAATCAATTCAAACACCCTTTAAAAAGATCCATTTTACTCTCATTTTACTTTCCTGTCACATTTCTTTTCTTATATCTCTATTTATCCAAAATATGTGTTAGTTCTCACCTTTTTGGAATAGTTCTTTGCAGAATCACACGCCTTTAGGAGCAGCTCTAGTATTTCTAACTGCAAATCATGAGAAGGCTTCAGAATGATAGCAATGTGAGCAAGAGCTGTTATGATGTATGCTTGTTAACTGCTCGATCAGAACTATGTGTTGAGTGTGTAGCTGTGAATGTGTGCAGGGGCGTGCGTGTCTCAGATGTCATACCTGTGTATCTGGATCTTTCAACTTCAACAAGGCCTCGGAAACAGTTTGATGGCACAAATTGCAGTTGTTAAAAAATTTCTGAGAAGTTAAGGTGACTTTCTGGCACATGGCTGCCTTTTTACAGAACTGCTCAGGCTCTACTGAGGATACCTCTAGGAAGAAGAGAGGACCGTAATAATTCACCAATGTGACGCACTGCAAACATAATTTGGTACACACACACAAGAAAAAGTCAATCAACCCAAACAAACCCCGTTTATCCCACTCAAGAGTATGGTATGTGGGCAAGATGAACGAGTAGCCTGTCCCGAAAGGAACCCCGCCAAACAATGGCCCATGGTGTGAGGGTGAAAAATAGAAATGCACACACAGTCCCTACAATGAACTTACAACTTTAATATGCTGCCTCTAATAAGATCATCGTAATAAATGATTTCTGTTTTAAAATCAACTTTCAGGAGTTTCTACTGTCTAGCTAACAGAATCATAATATTACCATCCTCTCTTTAAACTTCCCTCATTTAGGAGAGAGTAGACAAATGTAGAATGACCTCGAAAGAAAATTTTTGTTTAAGAACAAAAAGATGCATATTAAATCACAGTTAAAGCTAGACCATTCATACCTGCTGCTCATACATGCGCAACTTGGGGCAAGACTTAAGGAGGAGATTAATAATTTCTTCTTGGGTCTTGTTATTGTTAAGGTAAGTGATGGCCTCAGATGTGAATTCTTCACACATCTTGCAAACTATATCACTTCCACTGGCTTCTTTAGCAGCTAGAATGCCCCTCTCTGTGCGTTGATCAAGCAAGAATTAGCATATTTAAATTACTTAAATTCAAAAATTACATTTCGAAAAGATTGCTCAACTACTCGAGGAATAAAAAATGTACCTCAAGTATAGTATATTCGGACTAATTAAGTACTGTGCGTCCATGTGGGAAAGGTAAAAAATAGGGGCAGTAAGATCAAAGAGACTACTATAACTTTCATTTAGAACAATCATGTTTTCATTTACACATATAAAAGTAGGCTGGGACAAAACAAATAAATCTTGGCCAAATATCAACAAATAACTTAACTATCAACACAACCCCTCAAATGACCCAGAACTTTTTCAAACGTGTCATTTGGCCATAAATTAACCAAAACAACTCAATTTTGACCCTAAACTTGATTGAATTTAGATGTGTCGTGAACATAGTCTCAAATGAAAACATGAGTGTGTCAAGAAAGTCAAACGCCATTTTAACATAGTTGCAACTACAGAAAAAGACATCATCAATCCCAAATAAGCACTTAAATTGGCAAATATGTGTAGGCTATCATCACCTGGAATATTTACAATTTCTGTACGAAGATAAGGAGCTGCTAAATCTCTGGCACTACAAGTAACACCTAGTATGAAAATAATTAAGCAAGCCTTCATATCCATGATTCCTGAACAACAAAAAAACAATGACAGAAAATCAACAATCAAGTCATTTATTTGTTAATAATAGGGAAAGAAGAATAAATTCAAAGAGTAAGCCACAGAAAAAAGGATTTAGCATCTTTTCCAATTTTCTTCATTCTTCTAGCTTAATAACTGCCCTTGGATTTTCAAATTCTAGTAAAGTAGTAACTAGACAAATTAAGGCTTTCATAGATCGTGTGTCACCCTGCAACTTGGGCAGCCAAATCATTCAGTCCGTAATCCTAGAATTCAAATACATTCGAACTAATTCCCTTCAAGTAATTCGGAGTTGGAGTGACAGAACCGATCTCCAGGATGATCTAGGCTCTTATATCTACAGATATCTAATCTTAAATCTAAAGAAACACAAATTCATAAAATCGATTCACAAGCAACAGACAGATCACAGCTTTTAAGACAATTGAAATTTCTATACAAAAATCAAACGCCCAACAATAAGTCGTCAGAGTAAAAGCATCCACAGTGAAGATGCATATGCATAGTAGAATCATACCGGCGGGAAGATCGGAGCGAACGATCGAGGTTCCGTCGAGGGTAGTATTGTAGTAAGCTCAATTATTTTCTGTGCTGGTTGGCTTTATCCTTTTGGCAAACAAAGGGAAATAGGGAAGTATCCCTCTCGTAGCGGGGATTCCACGTCACAAGCAAATAAATAATTCCTATTTTTTTTTTTGAAAACAAATACTCCCCCGTCCCTAAATAATTTATACATTTTATTATTTAAAAATTATAGAAATTTTTATTTATTTGTGTATTTTTATTTATTATTTGATGAAATAAAATATTCTTGTTAACTCTTTTTTGGTAGAATCTTTTATGTACTTTTAAATATGTAAGTTTCTTATTTATATATCAATCTTTAAATAGAATGAATTAAAAACACGTGAGATTTTACTTCATTTTGCGTAAAAGGTAAATCATTTAGGGACGAAGAGTAAATCCTATTTAAGTGGGCACAATCTCATCTTGTGAAATCTTCAATTGACATCTTAGGATAATTCCTTTATAAAACTGACGATTCTACTCTATCTGAATTTCTCAATAAATCCCTCATCTGATCTTGATCCAACTCATCCCTACCTCATTCAATTGTACCTTCAAATTTAATTAATTCTGAAATCATGTTTTGTGGGCATTGTTTATGCCATCATTTTGGGCTTCTCTTTGATTTCTAGGATCTTGTTGCTAGTTTGTTTTCCTTGCTCTATTTTTTTAAAGTTGTTCCTTGCTCGTCTCAAATCTAGCTACATGCTCTTTATTACTATCCGTACTCTTGATTATTACTATTAAAAAACACGCATTTGTCACGGATATATTTTCACATATCCCGTCGTGACAATATTTGTCACGGAGTTTGTATATCTTTGCAACAGAACTTTGCATGCTAAAAAAATTAACTTCTGTCTAGGCAATGGTCGTGAGAATTTCCGTGACAAAAGGATGGCGTTAGATGTGGTGACCACAACCGTGATGAATACGGATCCGTCAAAAAATAAAATTTTTAGACTCTTTTATTTGTCACCGCTGATATCGTGACAAACACTATGAAAAAGGTATCTATAATTAATATTGTTAGTTTGTTATTGATTTTCACGTGATAAAGGCCGTGACAAGAAAAACTATAATTAATGTTGTCAGTTTATCAAGTATTTTGATGTGACAATGGTCCTGACAAAAAAACTATAATAATTGCTTTCAGTTTGAGACAAGTGTTGTGATAAAGGTCACGACAGAAAAAGACACGCAGTTGACTAGAATTAGTATTGCCAGATTGTCAAGACATAACCCGTGACATCGTCCGTGACTACGTGCATCAAATATATAAATAGAGGCATTTAACAATTTCTTATTCACTAACTCTACTAGTTGTTCCCTTCTCCTAATCGTCGCCTTTACCTTCCCCCTCCTCGGTGACGCTCCCCTCCACGGCTCTACCTCTCTGACGCTATCGCCCGTTATCGTAGGTGGTTCGCCGTCGGCTGTGGTTCATCGTCGCTAGTCGCCGCCATAGATTTTTAGAGGCAAGTTTTTCTTTTTAGTTTATTTTTAAGGGGTCTACATATCATCAATTTCTCATTCAAACTTTAAAAAAAAAGTTTTTAAAAAATGTATTTTTTTTGCAGATTTATGTACATAAAATTTTATGTATATTGTTTGTCGATTATATATATACCGAGTATGTATGTTCTTTTAAAATTTAATGTTTTTGCATTGATTTATTTAACTCTTTTAATAAAAGAATGATTTTTTAGTTAACAAAATTAAGAGTCTTAATTAACCTTGTTTTTAATGCACTAGTCCAAAGAACAGTTTTTTAAATCTTTTGAAAAACACTTTTTTGAAGTTGTAAGCAGCCATTTTTGGAATACTATTTCTTTAGGTTGAAATACACTTATAAAATTCTTTGTATAATAACACTAAAAAATGATTCTAAAAAAATATGCACTACAACAGACTAAGAAGAAACAATTTTAAAAACAATGTTGTGTAGCTTTTTTGTCTACAAAAGAATGTTTAGTTTAATTTTAGATTATTTAACTTGTTTATTACATATGTTAAATAATTTAGATATCAGATTGGAGGGGAAGTTTCTCCAATTAGATATCTGATGTCTATGGGAGTTTCCTCCATAGACATCAGTAACTAGGCAATTTAAGCAAATCATTTTGAATTTTTAAAACATCATTAAAAAATTACAAAAATATTAAAAAAAGTTCCCAATTCATTAACTAAATGGGAGATACCAATTTCCATCATACATTTTTTATCCATTCTCTATTATACAAACTTAAAATTCATCTTAAGGGGCACTGTCAGATCATCCAGGAAATCACCTACTTAAAAAAACACTTAATAAATAAATAATGAAAGGAATAATTAGAATTGGTTTAAGCAGCAGCTCGTGTTCTACACATCGCGACACCTGAAACCAGCAGCAGCCGAGATTTGCCTCTTCTTCTTCATCAACATCTTACTCTGTTCGGTCACAAGAAGAGAAATCCCAGAGAACCCACCAAACCTCTTCTTCTTCTTCTTCTTCTTCTTCTTCTTTGCAGGGTATTGTTTATCATCATCATTATAATAACAACTGTCTTTCAAACGGGTGCTACTCAACAGTTGTCCAAGTGACACTTTCCTCTTCTTCTTCTTCTTCCTCCTCTCAATCTCCTCCGCTTCTTGCAGCTTCCTTCTCAGTATCTGCCCTATTGACAATGTCGCGGACGCCGCAGATGAGGAATGATAATAATCATAATAATGTCTGTTTCTTCTTCTTCTTCTTCTTCTTCGCAGCAGCACCTCTTCGGCTACCTCCACTCTGCTCGCCGCCTCTTCCAGCGCCTTCTTGCTCTCCCTCAGCTCCTCCTCCGCCCTCTTCACCCTCCTCGCCGCCGCCAGTTTCACCTTCGTCTCCTTCAGCTCCTCCTCCAGAGAAGAAGCTTTCGAGGAGTTCGAAAACAGCCTCTGCCCGGTCTCTTCCAGCTGCAACCTCTCTTCCTCTACTTTCTCTTTGCAAGATTCAATGGCCGCCCGGACGCCCGCTAATTCAATTCCCAGGCTGCGTTTGGACTCCGATAAGCCCGGAGATTCGCCGCCATTGTTTCCGCCTTCCTGCAGCTTCAGCTTGAGTTCTTCCAAAATGACTTTGGTGGTTTCTAATTCCTTTAGGACATTGAGTGTCTCTGTTTCTTTTGCAGCGAGATCCATTTCCAATTGGGCGGCTTCTTCCTCCTTTTTAGCCGCATCGAACTCCTGGGGAGATGAAACTAAACGTCAAACATTTACAGAAGAGAAAATTTCATTATTCAGAAACAGGACAAATCAATTAGAGTGAAAACGCGAAAAAGGGGGACCTGGAATGAGGGGGAGGAAGAGGGTTTGAGGGAGGCGGGTCTCCAGAGGCCGAAGCCGCCGAATCGAGTGGCGGCCTCCTTCACGGACTCAAATGGGGCGGAGGTGTCGATCTCCGCCCTTGGACTCGCCGCCGGTTTGGGCTCCGCCGGTGAAACCGGGTCAATATTGGGCGGCGGAGAGTCGTTTTCTTGCTGAGCTAAGGCGGGATCAGAGACATCCATAGTTGGAGGAGGGACAACCTTAGGAGTTCAGAAAGAGGGGATCAGTTCAATCGCTGTGAAGAGGAGAGGGAAAAACAAGAAATGGAAGAAGAGCAGAGGGTAGTGAAGTAGAGAGTGATGAAGAAGTGTGGTGTAGTTGACCGTTGTGTGATGATGATATTGGGGCAGTGTACCGTTGGAGATTTCTTGTGAAGACCCCCCTCTCAAAAAACTTCATCGATTACCGTGTACGATTTAGTTTCAACCATTATTTTAATTTTTTTAGAGCAAAGTTGATACGGAGTAATTGTTACTCCATCCGTCCTAAAACTTTCTTCCCGGTTCACAAAACGAAGAAAAATCTCAAGTTTTTTCAATCTATTTTATTTAAATATTGGTATAGAAGTAAAAAATAAAACATACATATTTAAAAACTATATCAAAAGTTTAACAAAACAAGTGGTGACAAGAATATTTTATTTTATCATATAGGCCATGAAAAAACACAAATAAATATAAATTTCCGTAAAGTTGGAATAGTGCTCTGAGAAGAAAGTTTTAGGACGGAGGGAGTAATAAAATGGAGTTTTCCATAGTTATTAGTTGGCTTAATAGCATGGGGTGCCCCTTGTGGTTTACAAAAAGGACGTCAAAACCCCCTCTGCTTTTAAAAGTTATTTGTAAAGTTCATGTGGTTTCTAAATAGAGCACACATGCCCCCCTTACCTATTTTTAAAGCAAAAATGACATTTATGCCCTTTGTTTTCCCCGATCTTGAATTTTTCCAATTTCAATTACCTTTATTATACAAATGTATAAAATAAAATAACGCTTCCCATCTCAAATTAGAGTTTTTTATAATGTACTTTTGAAAACAAAAATTTTTTTGGAGAATGTTACAAAAAAATGAAAAATAAAATATTATGTACAAAGTAAAAAGTAATAATAGTTAAAAAAGGTAACGAAAAGAAATAAAAATATAAAAGATATTCTTTTTCTTTAACGTCATATTTTATTTCATCTTTCTGTTCTTCATTTTTTAAAGTCCTTAAAAAATTATTTTACTTTTAAACAACAAATAAGTTAGAATTTTTAATTAGAGACAGAGTGAGTATATGTTATCCAATTTTTATTTTATTTATTTTACTTTTACTTATAATGAAAAACTGTATTTTATTTCATTTTTGTAACATTTTCTTTAAAAAATTAAATTTTTGAAAATTAAATAAATAAAAAATTTTAATTTTAGAAAGAGGGCGTATATTTTCATTTATTTATTTGTATGACAAAAAAATGTAAAGAAAAGAGTGAAATTTGAAGATAGAGAAAAACCAAGGATAGAAATGTCATTTCATGTGTAAAATAGGCAAGAGGGGGTGTTTGTGCACTATTTAAAAATCACAGGGGTTTTTCAAATAACTTTTGAAAGTAGAGGGGGTTTTGGCGCTCCTTTTATAAACCACGGGGGGTACCCATGCTATTATCCCGTTATTAGTTAGTCTTTTAATATTAAATATTACTCCAGTAGTTCTTTTTTGTGGGTATTTTTCAACAAATAATCTTTTTTTGATTTTGTATCAATGTTGGTGTTAATTTGAGTGCTAAAAATGTAATTTCACAATGATCATATGTCTTTCTTGTCATACACAACTTCAGAGGCGTTTTTCATGATATGCGTCGTATGTGAATTCTAGCTAGTCATGTTCTACTACAACTATAGTCTACAGATATGGTCTTTCATCGGAATTCTAGTCCATATTCATAGTCATTATTGTTGTGGTGATATCAAATACGTCACTGGACATAAAGTTGATGTCAAATTATACTTTTAGCTCTCAAATTCACACCAATATTTCTGAAGGTCAAAAAAGAACTTTTTGTGGAAAAATACCTACTAAATTTTCTGGTGAAACTTCTGGCGACGATTACTATCAACTCTGGATACTCCAATGGCAATTAACTATAGTAGCTTGCTCTCCTCACTCTTTGGAACACATTAATACTAATATTAGAAGGAATGGTGGAGATTAGAAGTAGCAAGGCTTGCCTTATATAGGGGAAGAAGGAGGAAGAAGACATGTTTGCTGCGTAGGAGCTGATTCACGATCGATAGTGGAGGAGGAGGCGTCGTTTACACATCTTCCCTAATTGGGACTAATTTTGGTTCCAGTCAAAGTAAACTTCTTGGTCCAACTTTTTCCTAATTAAATTTTGTTTTACCGTTGCGATCAGACAGGCAAACTCTATCCAACGATATAGTTTTATATTTATTTAGAATACTTTTTCTAGCATCATATTTTTTGGGTGCTTGATTTTGAGAGTTAAAATTGATTTAACTAATATTTTATTCAAAAGATTCTCATATTCTATTTATTTTATTTATTCTAATGATTTAATTAAATAAATAGTTCGCATCAAAATAAATTTCTTTATTTATTCTTGATTTTGGTCTGTACTTTGATTCCCAATTAAGATCACACATACAGTTGCATTTTGGATTTATATCCCCAAGATTTATCTAGTTTGTGATATTAGATATCAAAACACATTTCATTTCGGCGCAAAGACCAATAATAATTTATTTTAATCAAAACAAATTTGTTTTTTTAAAGGAAAACAAATTTGTTTTATTAAATAATAATTCAATAATAATTTTAGAGTATGTTTTGGGGCGTTACACTAATGGTAGATTTGATTGAGGATATTTAAGTCGCTCGAATAATCACAAATTCCTTTGTAATGTAATGTAATTTTTAATTTTTTTAATTTATGTTGTTATTATTTAAATTTTATTTTATTAATGTAGTTTTTTTTATTGAATGCAATATTTTTTATTTAATGAATTATTGGCGTTTAAATTCAATTAAATAATGAAATTTTATTAATTTAATTTTACAAAATGTGTATTCAAAATGTAAAAAAATAAAGGTTTGAAGCCCTAGTTTGAAGTCTCGAGGCTTTATACCCATTTCCATTGAAACTGTGAAGTAAGTTAAAACTGACGTGGTAGGAAGAGAAATTTTAATTTGAAGGCCACATTAAAGTCGCGGGGCTTCACGAGTATTTCCCGTGTTCTTAATTTACTTTTCTTCCACTTTTTTCCCTTTTCTCACCATTTTCTTATTATTTTCTACCAATCTAATCATTAATTTTTTTCACATCATTTTCTCACTATTTTCTTTCTTTCATTTTCTTTCCTCCCATTTTTTCTCCGTGCTTTGCAAAATAGGCACCAATACCCCCTCTGTTTTCAAAACTTATTTCTAAAGTCCATGTGGTTTCAAAATGTTGCACCCGTGCCCTCTGTGATCATTTTCCGGCCATTTTTCCGGCGAAGAAGGGGGCGTTGGTGCATATTTTTTAAACCATAGGGGGTATCAGTGCTGATTTTTATTTCTCGCTTATTTTTTGTTTTTTCCATTTTTCCTTTTTTTGTTTCTTTTATTAATAAAGGTTTTTTTAAATTATTTTTATAATGTTCTTAAAATTTATAATTATTTTTGTTTGAAAAAATTAACATATAATGCATATGTACGTCGTTTTGTCTGAAAAAAGTAACTTTTTTAGAACTTCAAAAAAATGAGGAATAAAAAAAGAAACAAAATAATACAAAAATAAAAATGAATATCCTTTTTGGACATCTCAATTCTAAGGAATTTTTTAAGCGTGTCCAATTTTTTTTTGTATAAGACTTTTTTTTGCGTATTTTAATTTTTCATTTCCTTTTTCTGTATTTTTATTTTTTTATTCTGAGTTTTTTTAAATTTTCCGAAAAATTATTCGAAGTAACAAAAAGTGAAAATATTTAATTTGATATAGATGTAATGTATGTTAATTTTTTTATTTTTATTTTTATTTCAAACACAAAGAATTTTAAAATTTGTAGAACATTATAAAAAATTGAAAATATATTTTTAAAAAAAATTCTAGGAAAAGGAAAAGAGAAAGAAATTATTTAAAAAAGGAAAAACACAAATAATAAACGAAAATAAGAAATGAACACGAATGCCCCCTATGGTTTAGAAATTATGCCCCAATGCACCCTCCTCGCCGGAAAATGATTAGAGGGGGTGTGAGTGCAACGTTTTGAGATCACGAGAATTTTAGAAATAAGTTTTGAAAAACTGAGGAAGTATTGATGCTAATTTTCCAAACCACATGGGCACCGGAGCTATTTGGCCGTGTTTGCTGCTTTTGGCATGAGACACGAGTATACACCGTATATAATACGGAGTAATGACATCAAGGTCGGTAGCTGGCAGCTTCAAGCACCAAACAAGCTTAGCTATATTCCATCTCTCACCACAATTATAACACTCTATCATTATTATTCCTTCATTTCTATGCTACCTAGCTATAGCTTAGCTCTCTCTCTCTCTCTATATACTTATAATATATATCCACTATTTCATCTCTAATTTCGTCGTACTAAATACTAATGCATGTGTGATAATTAAGGATGGTGATGATCATGATGTTGAGCCGCAGTAGAAGCATAGCAGATGACTCTCATCATCAAAAGAATAATAATGTTCTTGACAATATATATGGTGACAACGATGACAACAAATCATTCAGAATCAAGCACGATGACGTCAGCTTCTTCTCCCGCCTCCTTTCCCGACAACAGACGACGGCGGCGGCTGCGACTAACACCCACTCTTTCAGAGTTTACTACGCCGACGACGACGTTTCTGTTCCCTTCGTCTGGGAGTCTCAGCCCGGGACTCCCAAGCATAGATTCTCCGGCGGCGGCGGCGAAAACGCCCTCCGTCCTCCTCTCACGCCGCCGCCCTCTTTTTTCACCGGAAGGAATCTGCCGGTGAAGAATAGGAGTAGTTTGCTCCGAGCTTTGCTCGTGAAGCTCAGGGGTCTCAAGAAGGGAGGCGGACGAGGAGGCCAATCACCACCACCGGCCGCCGCCGCATCTCCGTCTTATTCTTCTTCTTCTTCATCTTCCACGCGCTCTTGGTTCTCAGCGGCGGCGGCGACGAGTACTACACCGCCTTCGAGCTCCAGGGGCAGGAGGAGGAGGCAGGTATCGTCTTCCGGCTCCGGCGGTTCTATTGAAAATGGGATTATTATTGAAGAAGGGATTGCCGGCGAGGTTTCGCCGGCGGGGTGTTGGGGTATAAGCAACCGGAGGGCCCTGAGCATGCATTGATGGAGTACGTACGTAGTTAAGGAAGGACGACGTCGTTATCTGATCATCTCCATTGTTATTGTAAGTTACGTACGTACAATTAATTTGGTCTCACCCAAGTTAATAAACTGCATCACATTGTATCTTTAATTAATTAATTACTTTGTAGTGAACTTGATGATGATGATAAATCCTTATTGTAGCATTGAGATCAAATCATGATTCAAACCTACATGCAATGCTAATACTTCACTAGTTTGTACGTCTCCGATCCATAGTTGTACATTTATGATTTGTGCATTAGTTACATTACACCATGCCCTGTGGATCACACTCATCACGCCATCCCTTCATGTCGTTCAGCGCCACGTTAGCTTTTCTCTTTCCTATCAAATCTCATCTCCGTCAAGGGATCACACCCATCATGCATTCACGCTCATCTGTTTTTTCCCTTTTTAAAATTATTTTACTTTAAACTTTTTAAACTTAAAATTTAAAATAAAACTTTCATTAATAGAGTATTAAATTTTAAATTACAATGACAAAAATGCAAAAAAAGGAGGATAAAAAAGAGTGATACAAAGCGAAAAAATGCGTACAAATAAAAAAAGTACAACTTGAGAAAATAAAAACATAAAATAAGTTTAATTAAAATTACCTAAAAAAACATAAAATAAATATTTTTCAAGTATTAAATTCAGATTTACATTTTAAAAAATTATTCGTGATTATTTTTAAAACTAGATTATAAAAAAAGTAAAGTAAAAATAAAATAAAAAGTAAACTTAAATAATAAAGAAAAAACTACCAAGCAAAAAATAAGAAGAAAAATGAAAAATAAAAAACAACAAAAAAACTGAGTAGTATTAGCACGATTTGACTCACGGTCAACAAAAAAACGGAGGAGGGGTAGATCATATATGCAATGTTCCCTCCCTATCACGATTTGACATGGCCGTGAATGTAACCCAGCCATTACGGCTCATACCTCCTTCCCAAACCCTTCAGCGTTACGCTATAGGGAGTTCCCACTTCTTTCTACTCCGATCGGAAAAAATTAAAAGTCTTGTGCAAAAATATGGTCTATGATACAATTTGAGAATAATTAATCTTATTGAATATTGAAAGATACCTTCTTATAGATATAGTGATTACAAAAGAGAGTTCTAATCATAATAGAAAAGAAGTAAATATAATAAGGAAACTCTAACAAATATGGAAGATAACTAATTATAACATCTATTTCTTATTATCACCCCGTAAGCTGATCAGAAGAGACGAGAGGCAGCTTGGAACACACATATTCAGAACTCCTCGTAATGATGATGTCATCGACGTACATCAGAACAATCACAGTCCCATGAGAATCGTGAAGAGTGAACAAACTGGTATCATGGCGAAAACAACGAAAGCCAAGTCCCTACAAAAAAGAAGCAAAACATGTGTACCAAGAACGAGGAGCCTGTTTAAGACAATAAAGGGATTTACGCAACTTGCACACAAAGCGTGGGCAATTGGAATTTACATAATCCGGTGGCTGCTCCATGTAAATATATTCATCCAAGGAACCATGAAGAATTGCATTGTTGGCCTCTAACTGTGTAGAGGCCAGTCATGATGAAGTGTAAGAGAGAGAACCAAACGAATAAAATAGTCTGCTGCTTGACAACGGGGCTGAACGTTTCCTAATAGTAAATTCCATATTCCAGATGGTACATACCCTTTGGCCAATAGACGAGCCTTATACAAAGAAATTGAGCCATCAAGAATTTACTTTATGCGATACACGCACTTACAACCAATTGGAAGTCGGTCCTTGGGAGGAGGAACCAAATCCAAAGTACGCTACTCATTCATAATTGCAAAACTCGTCATCCATAGCCTGCAACCAGAAATTATTACTAGAGGCTTGGTGATATATATGTGGTTGGTTCAGTGGTGGAGGTGTAAAGTTAAGAGTGGGAGCAATGTAGGCTTTGAGTTTGAAAATACAGACTTGCCTCAACTTTCATTGGGTGAGTATTAGTTAGAGGAGGTCGATCGTAGGAGTGGGTGGACTACCCAAGGAGGTTCAGGGGACTGAGAAGGAAGCGGTCAACCGTGACCATGTAAATGGTTGAACAGTGAACATTCAACAATCATACTACATTGAAAAATAAAAATATATAGTTCTACATGGGAAAATTCATTATGTTTTAGTATTATTTAAGTAAATTGTCTTTGAAAAAACCCAAAAACAAATTATTTAGCGGTAAATTAACTAAAAAAGTAGAAGAATATCATACTAGAAATATTTGCACTAAATAGCACTAAAACTTAAGTTATTTACTAAATAACACTTAGATTGTTTTCTTCCATAAATAGCACTGGAAATATCATACTAGAAATATTTGCACTAATGCATCATTTAAGATGGAACTCATGTTACTGCCTTACTTATCAAGTTTCATCAAGTCATAAACTAACTTCGCAATTAGATAGCTGAAAGCAAATACTCCCTCCGTCCCAAATAGTTTGTTACATTTAGAAAAAACTGCGTCCCGTAAAGTCCGTTACATTTCGATTAAAAAACCACTTTTACCCCTTACTTTTTCATACCCTACCTATCACATCATACCTTTTTCCTAATAATCTACCCATCACATCCTACTTTTACCCATCACATCAAGGGTATTTTTGGAAAGTCAATACCAAAATATCCCTCCTTTAATTTCACAAAAAGTCAAACCGTCTCATTCTTTTTGGGACGGAGAAAGTAATTATTAGTAAGTGAAGGCAGAGTTGGGTTAATTATTTGAGACTAAGGGGCAGAGGCAAAAAAGACACGAGTCCTGCAGGGTCATGCACGCAAGTGTCAGTTATTGTAGTTGGTGAGTATGTATTAAATGGAGTAAATGAGTTTATGAAGAAGTTGGTTATGGGTTTCTGTCACAAGTATTTAAGTCTTCATCAGGTCTGCAGCAAATTAAACTCCAAATGCGATCCATCAATTCATGCATATGCGTATATATAGTTTATGATTTACATGCCATGCGCTGTCTCCTCCTCCTCCACTCATGCATGCATCAACCCTCTTTAATGGAGCGAGGTGCATGCTGTATTCACTCCGTGTGTGGGTGTATATATATATATATATATATATATATATGTATGTATATATATATATATGTGTATATATATATATATATATATATATGTAGATATATAGATATATATATATATATATATATATATATATGGATTGACTCCAGTGAGATGACACTTTACAGTGAGATGACATTTTTTGGTCAGATGACGCAAAGCTCACCACTGCCCACTGCAAAGCTCACCAAGCACAACTACAAAGCTCACCAAACTTTAAGGCAAAGCTCACCATATTTTTTCACTTTGAATTTTTTTTGAAAAAATAAAATCAAAGAAGGGGTGCTGACTAAATTTGACCGTTGACTCCAGCATTGACCGCTGCCTGCCGCTGCCGGTCGCCGAACGCCGCCTGTCGCCGGTCGCCGCCGCCATACTCCGGCCGCCGCCGCTGACCGGTGGTTGACCGGTGTTGTTTTTTTATTTTTTATTAATTTTTAAATTTTCAAAATTAAAAAAAAAGGTGAGTTTTGGTGTTCAAAGTGGTGAACTTTGCTTTATTTCCAGGTGAGCTTTGCATTGTGCATTGGTGAGCTTTGTAGTGCAGTGTGGTGAGCTTTGCGTCATCTCACCGAAGAATGTCATCTCACCATAATGTGTCATCTCACTGGAGTCAATCCCATATATATATAGACTCCAGTTAGATGACATTCTTACGGTGAGATGATGCCAAGCTCACTACATTACACTACAAAGCTCACCAATGGCCAATGCAAAGCTCACCTGGAAATAAAGCAATTAAAGTTCTCCACTTTGAACACCAAAATTCACCTTTTTTTCAATTTTGAAAATTTAAAAATTAATTAAAAATAAAATAGCAACACTGGTCAACCACCGGTCAGCAGCGGCGTCCGGCAAGCGGAGCAGCGGCGGTTGCAGGTGGTGGCTGGCGGCGGGCGGTGGTCGGCAGCGGTCAACGGTCAACGGCCAAAATCTAGTCAACACCCTTCCTTTAATTTTATTTTTTTCAAAAAAAAATTTGAAGTGTTGAAAAAATATGGTGAGCTTTGCCTTACAGTTTGGTGAGCTTTGTAATTGTCTTTGGTGAGCTTTGCAGTGACCAGTGATGAGCTTTGCAAAATATTTTCATCATTAGACGTTAAAATTTATTAAAGTATATAAAATGTTCTTCGTAGATAAATTATGAATAGGAGTTATAATGAAAGAAAGATTCACTTTTTTATAAACTTTTTCATCTTTTGGAATCATTGTTTGAGAGGTTGAGGTGAGTTGGGGTTCAAAGTGATCCAAAAGGCATTTGAATTACATGACTCCGAGCCTTATAGAGAGTTGACGATCCTCTATATGTGGTCAAATATATGATTCAACTCGAGCCTTTGAATTATTTTCTATTATTAAGTACGTAAGTTACGTAATAAATTGTCTACGTGCCTATTATACGTGTAATGTTCGGCTTGTGTTTGTTTTTTTAAAAATTTTGTTTCGGGTTGTTGGCGGTGTTTCTTGGGTTACCTTAGTTGGCGAAGTTGATTATCTTTTGAGCTTGTTTTCCTCCATTTTATCAAAAAAACCAAAAAAATAAGAAAATATAAAAAATCAAAAAAACATTTACTTTTCATCCAACACCCCCCTTTGTGTTATATTAGTATAAGTTTTTTTTTACTAAGTTTATTTAATAAGTGTTTGTTTATAAGTTATAAATATAAGTTTTTATACTTTATTAACTTTTATATACTTAAGTATTTGTTTTGAGTTTATAAATTATGTTATAAGTTCTTTGTTTATATAAGTTATTTATAAGTTCTTATATTTATTTAGTTACTCCCTCCGTTCTAAAAAACACTTTCCCTTTCATTTTTTCTACTTCCAACAAAACACTTCCCTTTTCTATTAAAAAACCACTTTTACCCTTACTTTTTCATACCCTACCTATCACATCATACTTTTTCTCTAATAATCTATCCATCACATCTTACTTTTACTCATCACATCAGGGGCAAAATTAGAAATCAACTATAATTTAACACTTCCTTATTTTTGCCCTAAATCAAAATGGGAAGTCTTTTTGCAAACGGATGGAGTATAAGTTTTTTAATAAGTTTTATACGTCTTAGTAGTTA